ATGGGAACTTACAGAGGAAATCCTTGCATATATACAAAATATTGACACTACTCTACCATCAGTTTCGGATGAAAAGTTGCGAGAGATAAATCAAGAAACTATGAAAGATGATACTCTAAAACATGTGTCACAGTATTGTGTGAAAGGTTGGCCAGAAAAATCTAAGATTCCAGAGGATGTATTGCCCTACTGGTATCATAGAGAAGATATAAGTGAGCAAAATGGTATACTTCTCTTTGGAAGTCGTATTATAATACCAAATTCTCTAAGAGCTAATGTACTAAGAAGTATTCATGAAGGACATCAAGGCATAACAAAGTGTAGATCTTTTGCAAAATTGACTGTGTGGTGGCCTCGTCTTTCTCAACAAATCAAAGAACTAATAGAAAATTGCAAGATATGTGCAGAAAATCGCGCTACGAGAGCAGAGCCGCTGATACCAACCCCTTATCCGGACAGACCTTGGCAAATAGTGGGTGCCGATTTGCTGAAGTGCAAAGGTCACTGGTATCTCTTAATCTCAGACTATTATTCCAGGTTTATGGAAATTGCTAGACTAAATGACTTAAAAATAAGCACTATTGTGACATATACAAAGTCCATCTTCGCACGTCATGGTGTACCTGAGACAGTAAGAGCAGACTGTGGTTCTCAATTTGACTGCTGTCAATTCAAACAACTTGGTCGTGATTATGGATTTAAATTGATTACATCAAGCCCAAAATTCCCACAAAGCAACGGCTTCATCGAAGCGCAAGTAAAAAAACTTTAAGTACCACTTAGAAAAAAGTGATGATCCCTAAAAATGCTACTTATGTTAAGAGCAACCCCTCTAGAAAATGGGAAAAGTCCAGCGGAATTACTTTTCGGGAGAAGGATCCGCAATTATGTTCCAATAATGTCTGATCAACTAAGACCCTATCTGGTAGACGCTGAAAAGTTAAGGGAAAAGGAAGAAGCAAGAATTGATCGTCAAAAGATTTATTTTGACAAAAGACATGGAGTCAAAGAATTGCCTACTCTACCTGATGGAGCTCAAGTCCATATAAAGGACAGGAATCAAGAAGGAACTATATTAAACAAACATCCTGCACCTCGATCCTATATAATTCAAACGCAAGATGGTTGTTTGCGGAGGAACAGAAGATCACTGCAAAGATTTAGCACTACTATGCCTTCTGATCACTCTCAACCAGTCCTTCAGAACACCTCAGAAGATCAGAACCTTTTGATCATCCTGCAATGGCATCGCAGACAATTCCTTTAGCGAATCTAAGAAGATCATCAAGACAATGCAAACCTACCCGGAGGTTCGATCTTTAAATGGGAGATGTGTTGTTATTCATATGTGTTTAAAAACATATGGTGTTAGAATATTATTTGTTTAGTTTTTGTTGGTAAACATTCTGGATCTTGATTTATTGTAAAAGCTACCTAATAAAGTATTTGTTTTATTAAAACTATATTTTAATTTAACTTACGGTAACACTACAGAGTACAGTAGACTCCCTCTTATCCGGACACTTTTTAACCGGACTACACTCGGCGGAAATGTCATCTCTTTAACAGGACAATTTTTATCAGCACATCGGTTTAACCGGACTAAATCGGCAGGAAGTGGGCGGTACTGAAACGACTGTTCTCGTGGGAAACATTAGAGGCCAGTGATCACGTGTCTAAATAAGTAATAATCATTATTTGCTTATACAGTATGCATTAAACAGTCCGTTTTAACAAGTTTTTGGGTACGTTATCCGGAATGGCCTCGGTCCCGAGGAGTCCGGATAAGAGGGAGTCTATTGTACTTAGGTTTGCTGCTGCAGGGAAGATAATAAGGTGATCAAGAAGAAAATTAAGAAAAGAAGTTAATTTAACTCAAATTTAGAAAACAATGTGAAACACAAAGAAGAAAAGAAATTCATGTGCGTCCCATAAAACAAAAATTTAAACAAAGCAATAAGGAAAACATTCAAACACACTCCAATCAAATTAAGTTACAGAACAAAAAATAACATTTTTTAAATTATACACAATAAAACCAACAATCCTACAACAAACAATGCAGCAAACATATACAACCTATCTGGTATCTACAAAATTAATTGCTCTGACTGTGACAAATACTACATTGGACAAACCTATCGAAATTTTAAAGTTAGATTCAACGAACACATACAAGCATATACATCGAAGAACAAAACATCAATGAAATCAAATTTTGCAGATTATTTATTTAATTCCAAACATAAGTTTACTAATATTGAAGAAAACTTTACAATATTAGAAATTGAAAAAGACAGAGAAAAATTTAATGTAAAATAAGAAATTAATATTTATATGAACTACAAAAATAACAAATCAAATATTTTAAATACAATGATTTCAAAATTAAATAATCCAATATATGAAACAATAGCAAAATTGAGAAAATATTAATGAAAATAAGTACAAACATATCATCCTATACTCTAATACGAGCAATGTTTGCTTGTATGTATGTATGTATGTATGTATGCTTGCTTGCAGAAATATCTCGAAAACGGCTCCGACGATTTTCTTCAAATGTTGTAAATAGTTTATTCCTGGCCTAAAAACAAGTTTACTGCAGTTAGCACTGCCAACAAAAATCTAATTACGTAGAAAAACAAAACTGAAAGTCACATTTTTTTAACATTAGTCTTATGGGTTGCTAAGTAGCCATGTTGATTGAATTAAATAACAAGGAACAAAATATCTATCCACAGTATACTAGCAAATTACAAATACAGTACAAAAGGAAAAACATCAGTTGTTACTATTGAGTAAAGATTATACTGAAGATTACTCGATACATTGTTGCAGGACTTTTTTTATCTATAATTATAGTAAAGGCTTGCAGTGTGGAGTGTGGGAACTGTTTATGACGATTAGATTAATTTATCTGCAATCCTAAAATGCTATTGGAAGGGAGGGAAACAGGTCCGCGACATAGAAGTGGTGAAGGAAGTAGTAAAGGCAAGCAGTCCGGAGTGTAGGAACTGTTGATGCCGATTAGATTAAGGTATCTGCAATCCTAAAATGCCACGGGAAGGGAGGGAAACAGGTCCGCGACGTAGGAAGTGGTAAAGGAAGTAGTAAAGGTGAGCAGTCTGGAGTGTGGGAACTGTTTATGACGATTAGATTAAGGTATCTGCAATCCTGATATGCTATGGAAAGGGAGAGAAACAGGTCCATGACGTAGGAAGTGGTGAAGGAAGTAGTAAAGGCGAGCAGTCTGGAGTGTGGGAACTGTTTATGACGATTAGATTAATTTATCTGCAATCCTAAAATGCTATTGGAAGGGAGGAAAACAGGTCCACGACGTAGGAAGTGGTGAAGGAAGTAGTAAAGGCGAGCTGTCCGGAGTGTGGGAACTGTTAATGAGGATTAGATTAAGTTATCTACAATCCTAAAATGCTATGGGAAAATGCGAGCAGCCCGGAGTGTGGGAACTGTTAATGACGATTAGATTAGGGTATCTGCAATCCTAAAATGCCGTTGGATGGGAGAGAAACAGGTCCGCCACGTAGGAAGTGGTGAAGGAAGTATTAAAGGTGAGCAGTCTGGAGTGTGGGAACTGTTATTGGGGATTAGATTAAGTTGTATATAATCCTAAAATGCTAGGAGAAGGGAGGAAAACAGGTCCATGACGTAGGAAATGGTGAAGGAAGTAGTAAGGCTAGCAGTGCAGAGTGTGGGAACTGTCTGTGGCATTTATGTATCTGCAATTCTAAAATGGTATAGGGAAGGAGGGCAAACAGGTCCACGACGTAGGGAGTGGTGAAGGAAGTAGTGAAGGTGAGCAGTGTGGAGTTTGGGAGTGGATTAATGTATCTGCAATACTAAACTGCTTTCAGAGTAAACTAATGATTTTCCCCGAGCAAAGCTCGGTCCCCAGGTACTAGTATATAAATTAATCAATGAAGACAAAATTATGTTAGCCTACCAGTTAGAAAAGTTTTATAATATCATATGTTATTTTTTTATTTACACATTTTATTTTGATTTTTTTTTACTTTGAAAATGGCCTTAGAGCGGAAACTAAAGTCAGAAAATGTTTTAATAAATAATTTTTACTTGGGTACTAAGTTTATTAATGTTTAATCTTTATTTATATATAGTAGCCCTATTATTCTATTTTTCATATATATATATGTCCGTTAGCGCAATAACTCGAGCAAAAATGATCCGATTTTCATGAAATTTGGTACAAAGGTGTAAACCTACGTTTATTCAAATGAGTTCGCAAAACAGTATAATCGGATGTTTATGGATGTATTTAGGAAATTTTGTTTATTTAATACTAAGCTATCTACACATAGCAATAAAAAAACACATCTCAATATCTTCCCTGTAGCAGCAAACCTAGGTACTCACTCAAATTAATGATAATTAAATAGGAAATAAATCTGATAATTTTTAGGGAATATATTAGTAGAAATCCAGCCAGGTTAATGGAAATTTGCTTAGTCTGCAGGTTTGCTGCGGCGAGGGTATTATTAATATAGACTAGCAGCCGGCACCACTTAGTGACTTCAAAATCTGTGATATATACATAGCTGAAGGGTGAAAACTATTATTTCTTATCATATCCTTATTATTTTCATTGCAGGCACGATCTCTTTGAGGCATCTTAGTAATAAAATTACAAATGCTAATGAAACATACTATGAAAACACAAAATCTCTTCTTTCAAATAACGTTACAATATATTACCTAAATTCCCTAAAACATCAATAAAACATACTATGTAAACACACAATCCTATAAAAACACAAAATCCAACGTAAGACATTTTCACCTTCTATTTGAATCTATCAATTGAATCTATTTGAACGGATGGTGTTGTTGGCCTCTGGGGAGGTCTTAAAACAAAAATGTAAATCGGTCCAGGTCTTACCTAATGGTAATAGCTTATTCCCTATATGGTTAATTCGCTAAAAGCTAAATTAGTCTTTGGACAGAAAATAAGAATGACTTACAATTAAAATGAGTAAAAGAGCAGCCACCCATCTTGATTTCATAGGTTTAAATCTTTGAGATGGAAGTGTTCCTAGCACTGGCTGTAAGTATTCGGTTTCATCACCTATCATATTCCTGAAACAAAAAACACATGTTCGGTGCAAAATCAGTAAATTCAACACTTACAACTTGTATGTACTTCAACACTTATAACTTCAAACATTTATTGGAAGTACAGAAAAATACTATTTTCAAACAGGCCTGAAAGAATCTTACCAGAATATTTTTTAAAGGGCCTACATTTGATAAACCATACACTAGCATATTAAAGAGTTTTATACATACTTAAATTTTATGAGACTTTAATGTTCAGCCATGACAACGGGAGCATTCTTGCACTGCCCGTTTTTTTACAATTTCAACTTAAGATGAGCGCTGGGATTTAAAATCCTGCCAGTTGGTGCATCAGTTATACGGTTTTTGTTGGAGAAAACTTAAAACCAAAACTACTCCTCAAGTTTCAAGGACTTTGTTGTTTTTTAGCGAATTTCCCAAATAGGGGCACCTATTACCGTTGGAATATAAGGGGGGGAGGACCGTAGGTTTGATATACAGGGTTAGGCAAAAGTCTGGAACCCCCCAGTTAACTTTTTAACGCGTTGCAGTAGGAAAACCAAACTCGGCACATATTTACAACATAAGAAAATGCACCTTTTCATCAAAGTTACAACTTTACCCCAGCACCCAAAATAGGGTATTTTGGGGGCATCCCCAAATTTTCAAATGTAAACACCTATCATGTGACTCCTCATTTTAAAGGGTTTATCAAGAGAAATTGAATGGCGCAAACCAGAGGTCAATATCGCACCCCTAATCAAAATGGCAGCCATTTTAATTTAAGATGGGCAAGCAAGATAAAGTCTGGACATCCCCAGTTAACTTTATAACGTGTGGCAGTGGGAAAACCAAACTCGGCACATGTTTACAACATTAAAAATGCACTTTTTCATTAAAGTTAGAACTTGTACCCGGCCCCCAAAATGGTGTATTTTAGGGGCAGCCCCAAAATTTTCAAGTGTAAACTAAACACCAATCATGTGACCCCTCATTTTAAAGGGTTTCTCAAGACAAATTAAATGGCGCAAACTAGAGGTCAATATCGCACCCGTAATCAAAATGTCAGTCATTTTGAAATATCCCCCCTATTAACTTTTTAACAGGTTATAGCAGGAAAACTAAACTCAGCAATAAAATGAGAGAATTCACCTTTTGGTCAGTATTAAAATATTAAATTTTTAATGTTAACTGGGTAGTGCGGGGTGGTTTGTAAGTATTCAGACTCTGGCTCGATTGGAGTGTAAAAATTGATTTGTTGATTTTCCATGCTTAACAATACGTTTGTTAGTAAAAATCACCCTGTTGCCATTTTTTATCACCTCTTTTTACTTTCAAAATCTAATAGGGAAATCTATTAGATCAAAATCTAAGGTTTTACTTTTAAAACCTTATACTCCGTTCAAACAACCGTGGCACCTGAGGGATTAGGAGGCCCCAAGGGTTTCCATAGGTTGTCCTAATCCGTCAGGTGCCACGGCTGTTTGAACGGAGTATAACCTTGCCTCATAAAACCGCTACCTTCCTTAACCCTAGCAGTGGCCAACCGTCGTCTGGTGACGGTTTGACGTTGATGCTTAGAATGGCCAGCCGTCGTCTGGTGACGGTATGGGCCGAAATTATTTTAACGGTAAAAAAACACCTATTATCAACTCAGATAAGAATAATATATATACCATTCGAAAGATCACATTCTGAACTTTCGTTTTATTACATAAACAAACCCTGTGGCAGGTATATAACAATGTCACGACGATTAGGAATCAAATGAATTTTTGGCGCGGCACGACTTTAGCAGCCGACCCTTGGGAACTGGCAAAACACGTCTTGTTTGGCATTACCCCGCTCAGGTAATTTTTTAGTCTGGGAATGTTGCGGGTGGTACCACTGGATAACCATTGATTTTATCTTCATTGTGGTAGTGATATTTTAGAACTAAATATTGATTGGACAACCGGTACGATTTTATGAAAACAGCTGTTTTCGAAATTTATAACAAATGACCAACCGTCGTCAGGTGACTGTATGGAAAATACAAATTACATACAGTGTAAGTTATTATTACTAGTCATATAATATGTCATTTTGAAGAGGAAGAAATGTAGCTTGTGATAGTGGCAGCCCTGCGCTCAGGGTTATTTTCGGTTTCTCTCACTAAGACGACGAAATTGTGTCACTACTGTCAAGCTCTCAATATCTCATACACGAAGTGCCTTGTATTCGCCATTGCGTCGCCATTGGGTGTTGTTGCCGGTGAGTTTTCGCTCTCGTTTTATCCGCGATTGATTACTAAATTTGTTATTATTTCGTATTTTTTTGAGAAATGTGTATCTATATATATAAAAGGCAAAGCCCTCACTGACTGACTGACTGACTAACGGACTGACTCACTCACTCACTCACTCATCACTAATTCTCCCACTTCCCACTTACCTAAGAGGCTGAAATTCGGCACACTGATTCTTTAGGCATTAAATAGGAAAACTAAGTGGTTTTTATTCTGATCGGACTCTCGGGCTCCGCCCCAGTGGCTCTAGAGTTTCCCATGTTAACCTAATGAGTACTCATATTTAAATGGAATTAATGAATCATAACAGCTGTTTCAATTAAACAAGTTGGTTCTGTTCTATGATGTTCAATAGCATTAAAGTTACAAGGATTACCAACAGAGTGCAGCACTATTATTTTTTTAATATTTGACAACAACAGCTAATTTGAAACCAAAAGGTGAGTGAGCGTAGCGAACGAACTTCAACCCGGAGGCGAGGTACCGTAGCGAACGAGCTAACCTGAAGGCAATTGAGCGCAGCGAACGAGCTCCAACCGTAAAGGTGAGTGAGCGTAGCGAACGAACTTCAACCAGGACGTGTGAGCGCAGCGAACGAGCTCCAACCTAAAGGTGAGTGAGCGTAGCGAACGAACTTCAACCAGGACGTGATTGAGCCATGCGAACGAGCTCACATATGAAGTTAAATGGGGCAAAGCCCGCGGGTACAGCTAGTGTGTATATAACAGTAATCTTCATGTATTTTATTATGCATGAATATTTACTGAATAGTGTCAAATTGTGTTTATAAAAGGTTGTATTTTTCTTTTGGTTGTATTATGAGGTTTTCCGTTTATTTATATTATTATGCCCCTAGCACGTGAAAACAAAAATTTTTACCCAACATGTTATACATTTTTATGTAGGTAATTGAATACACTACAAGATGTTTATGTTGGTTTGAAGTAAAAACATTTGGTACACAAGTTTTATACTAAATACAATGATTTTTTTTCTCACAAAATCGCTAAAATACAAAAACATTATTTTATTTATAAATAAAAAATATTTTTACCATAAACTTTATGACTTTTTTTGATTACTTACTTCATTAGCTTTACAAACATGTATATACCATTATTAGTATACACATATATTATATAACTTTTTACAACAGAAACTAACACTGTACGGTATTCAATTTTTTCGGTTCTCCGTTTGTTATTATATTTCGCCCCAAAAATGTATAAAAAAAAATATTTTCCTAACATGTTATATTTTTCTATGTAGGGAATTAGATTGTCTACACAATGTTTATAATGAATTTCCCATAAAAAATCTGTAGAAAAAAAATACCGCGGCCGCTTTTGAAATTTCCAAAAAATTTTTTTTTTTTTTTTTCACTTTGCCGAAAAAATACACTATCTAAATCATTATTATATTACTATTTCTAGATTCTCCTGTTCTTTCTGAACAAAATTAATATGAGGTTGGCTAGGTTTACTTGTACAGTTGAATTTTTGCGAATTTTCAAAAAAAGGTCTGCAAAATCGCCCAAATGGGTTGGCCATTTCCCACTTCTAACATTGGCCACTGCTAGGGTTAACATCGCTACCTTCCGTAGCAAAATATAATAACTTATTGCATAGAAAATGCCATAAAACTATTATTTTCTTAAAGATGAGATCATAACCTTTATTTTCATATATAAAATACCCCCACCACAGCAAACCTGCCGACTTCGTGAATTTCCATTTGTCTGAATTAATTTTTAATTAAATCAATTTAAAAAACATTATATTTAATGAGTACGGTACCTAGGTTTGCTTATACAAGGAAACTAATAGAGTATTTTTTTGTAAAATATTAATAGCTTAGTATGAAATAAATAAATTTGCCAAGTTTGCTCAAAATATAACCATAAACAAGCAAACTAAAACATTTTACAATATTCTCCGTAAGAATAACATGGGAATTTTAAGTTTACAATTTTTTGAACTTTCTCATTTACCAATAGCCGTACAAAAACACTTTGATATACTAAATTATTTGTTTTTTAAGCTCTTTAATAAGGTCTAGAGAGAAATCGGAAAATTCTTTGTTTTGAGGGTCAAAAATGAGAAAACTATTTTTAACCCCATAAAACCCCTCGTAAAACCCCGTTCCCATGGTCCGATCATTCTGGTTCGCGAACTCATTCAAGTTTACCCTGCCTTACACCTTAAAAACAAATTTGATCAAAATCGGACAAAAATTACTCAAGTTATCACCGTGCAACCTACGGTAAAAGCTACTTAATTCCCTATAGGGAAATTCGCTAACATGATTATGTGCCTTTTATTTAGCCTTTGACGATTATTGCAAAAAGTAGTTAAATGATTATCTGTGCCTTTTATTTGGCTACGACGATTATTGCAAAAAGTAGTAATGATTATCTGTAGCCTACCTTTTATTGGGTCCCCCCTGGTTTTCAAAGTGATGCCTGTCTGTGTGTGAGCGTGTGTGGGTCTACCTACCACACCTGTGGTATCTCTTGGCGTTTTTTAATGTTTTTGAAATTTTAGATTTTTAATGGTGATTGTACCATAACAACCCATAAGATAGCGGAAAAATATAAGTTTTTTTTTATAGCCTGAACTATTTTAATAGCAATTCATTATGTTGTAGCCCTTTAAATTTTGAACAAAATGGTAGAACTCCCATTCCTGTAAAAATTACTGTTTAAAAGTTATCGTGTTATTTTCCCTTATAACCCTATAAAAAAATAAAATAGAATTTTCAAAAGGAAACCGGTTTTGATTGAAATTAGTATTTTTGATGGTCCTTATAAATCTTAACAAAATAGTGCAATCTCTCATTCCTGTAAAAATTAAGGTTCAAACGTTAATGCAACTGTTGTGATTTTACCTATTAACCCTCCAAGTGTCCATAGTTTAGGCCTTAATGTCCACCTATTTTTGGCGCATTTGCAAGGTTTTATTAAAACGGATCTGAGAAGATTAAAACAATGTTAATTCTAATGTTCTATATACCATTTTGTTTGGAAAATCATGGGCTTCAATATTATATATAAAACATAAGGAACATTTTTTCCAAAAAAAAATTTTTAGGTGAAAAAAAATATAATTTCGAAAATTAAAAAAAAAAAAATAAGTTCGCGCTCAATGAAATTGTATAAATTATAGGCCTATAAATATTTGAAAATAGCCACTTTGTTCTAAATTTTATGAGGATTACAAATATATAATAATATAAGGAAGTAGATTTGCAAATAAATAAGTTATGGGCAAAAAACAGATTTCAGTACATAGCGTTTAGCTAAGAATGCATAGCCTAACCATAGCTAGGAATCTGGCTGATAATTTACATCAATATCACTACCTACTTCTTCAGGATCATCAACCAGCACTTCAAAACCACTTAAATCTTCTTATAATGCAACACGTATATCACTACTTTTGATTTTTAACACTAAAACAATGATAAACGTAATAAAACACATCAGTCATCGGTCCGAGTAACCTAGCTGTTTACAAATACACGCACGTCAGCTGTCTGCTACAATTGTAGCTTTAATTACGATCGGCTCAGAGAACGTACAGCGCTGAGACAGACCTCTGGAGAAAGCTTAGAATATTACGGAAAGAACGATACCTAACTCGATCCAGTTCAATCCGATTCAGTCAGTCATAGAGCCTTCGCCGTAAACGATGTCTGCGTGTCGAAAAATCGACAAGTAACACTACACAAAGTGTGCTGCTTGTCGAATTTTCGTCAAGTAACACTGGGAGGGTTAAATATCAAATTCTCTATATAAATTTGAAATAATAAAAACTTCACCAATATTTTCAAAATGTTTAATTACATGAGGCCTTTTGCTAGCTATGCTGGCATCATTAGACACATCACAAAACTGAAGGTTATGTTTACGTTTAAAAAATACAATGGTAAATTTTAAAGAATTTAACATATGGGTAGTTAAAAAAAATTATTATGTTAAGTACATTTAGCTAAAATTAAAAAATAAATTATATAGGCCTATGTATAAAAATGAAATATGAAGTAGAACTAACTTTGTGAATTTAGAATTTAGTAATGTTACATTTTGAATTGGACCATTTTCGTTATTTACTAAATTGTCCTTTTTATTTATAAATAATGATTCCCATGCGTTTAGTTCATCGGATTTTGTTCTATTTTTTAGTAATTTAGTATTTTTTATTGATATTGTGTGGTGCGTTTCTAAACAATACTTTGCTATTGCTGATTTTCAGGTCTGTTGTGTGTTATGTGAGAAGTGTGTTCTTTAAATCTAGTTTTTATATTTATTTTTGTTTGTCCAACATACTTCATCTCACAACTGCCACGCTGAATTTGATAAATGCCAGATTTTTTTGTATTGTAGTTTCGCGCATAGACACAGGCTGAGCAGAACAATTAAATGCTTCCCTGTTTCAGGTTACAGATTTTTCAACAATCTAACAGTAGCCATTTAAGGGACTTGCCTATTTCAAGGTTCAAGGCAGTAATGAAGGACTGGTTGATAGAAAACCCTTTTTATGACCTGTCTGAATTTTTTAAAGTAGGACTACCAGTTTTGTTATAGGTAATGCTCATGCACTGCCTTGCATGGCTATTTTCTTGCCTGTTTTTTTTTTTTCTTTTTTTTTTTTGCATGGTTTTGCTACAGTTTTGTTTTGCATGGTTTTATTTGTTTCCTTATTATTATATTTATCTAACTTTCATTTATTTGTGAATCAAGAGATGGACTATTTATTATTTACTTTGTATTGTAAGTGACTTAGCCTATTGCTTTTGCTTAATGGTCTAAATAAATCATTGAATCAACTCAAAACTTTGATAGGCTGGATCTGACTTTATCATAACTTAGTTATCAATTGTTATAATCAATAACTTATAGAAGTTTGGTTTTTCGTTAAGTTATGCTATAGGTATCGATAGTTTGGTATTCGATCATACGATGGAGGCGTATCAAAGTTCTGCCTTTGCTTTGGCTGTTTTCAGATCTTTAATAGGCCTATGGTTGTTTTAGCAAGTTCTAGAAAATCTAACGTATTGATCATTCAAATTCATAGAAATACTTAGGCTCAGATGTTATACCCTATAGAATGTTGGTTGATAAAGTTCAAAATATGTTATTTGCTGTAAGCCACAGTATTAAGACACTAGCAGAGTACACGTCCTTCGTACGGGGTTGGCATATAATTTATTCATTATTTTGCCTCCTGAACCACAGTTATTTTTTTTGAATGAGTATTGAATTCAAAGTATTATCTAGGTTACGTACCTTATACAGTCAAAACAGTACGTAACCTAGATAATACTTGGCATATAAGTATAAAATGCTTATTGCAGTTATACTCGAGCTTTGCGTTTGCAATGGGGGAGGACACAGTTTGATCAAATTTACTTACTTAAATTTACAGTATACCATAGCCTAGTATTACAGATCTACGATAGCCATAATGTTCTACCATTTCATCTCAACAATAGAGAAAAATAAATTACAAAAAATTTGCAAAATATCACAAATTATTCATGAAATTAAAAACATAAACATAACTGTAAACAATCCTACTTATACAGTTCTCATTGTGTATCACAGTTGTCCGTTGCTGCTTAAGTAGTTCAATTGCTGTTTTCATGAATGAAAAAAATATTAGTGCTGCACCCTGTTGGTAAATCTTATAACTTTTAAATTCTTTTGCATATCATCAAGGCCACACTAAAAAAACAGGCCGTAATGCTCGTCTAGCATGACGTCACGATAGAAGCCGGCAATGACGTAATGTTTGCCGATTGTGATCAGCTGCTTGTTTTAATCTTTTCATCGAAAACAAAAATATAACCTTAATTACGTCATTGCCGTCTTCTATCGTGACGTCATGCTTGACGAGCATTACGGCCTGTTTTTTAGTGTGGCCTTGATATCATAGAACCAACTTTGTTAGTTGTAACAGCTGACAAAATTCTTTAATTCCCTTTGAATATGAATACTCATAACGTTAACATGGGGAACTACAGAGCCACTGGGGCGGAGCCCGAAAGGATTATTGAGAAAAGAATATGTCTATATGTAAATCGGGAATGTAAGCTATCATCATGCCAAATTTCAGCCCAATCCGTCCAGTAGTTCATGCGTGATTGAACTTCAAACAAACAAACACACAAACTTTCACATTTAAAATATTAGTAAGATATTGTGGCTTAGGCTATAGGCCTATTAAGGCGTAACTTATTTCACATATTTATTTCTCTTTATTGTAATCTCTTTAAAGTACCTACCTAACTAGCCTAAACTAAGGTAACTTAGCCTATATTTTCATTAGGTAGGCCTACCCTTAGCCGAAAAAATGTGACAATCAATATTAAAATATTCTCAAAAAGAATTATGGAAAGAAAAATGCTCATCACTCCACTGAGTCTTTAAGCTTGGAGCTCTTGAGTAAAAAAGCTAAGGGAAACTTAACTGATGTTTTTTAACACCTAACCTAAACTTGATTGGTTTCTCAGATAGATCCCAAGTCATATATTTTAAAAATAGAATTCCTATGGAAGAAGAAATGTTGTAAAGTTAATATTTATGCCGCATATATGGATCCTTACACTACACTTTAGAAAACCAGTTTTATGCCTCTAGTTCGCTGTATAATCAGGCATTTTACCTATCTTAGGCTATCAATTTTAAAATGTTTAAAATTTTTAAATTAATTTTCGCCAAGATGTGAAACGTTTTCGTTAACTACGTTACGTTACCTGTATGTAACTTATGGAAACTCTTCGCTTCACAAACTATGCAGTTAAACAAAATATTAAGCAATAACAATTTTTATGTTGAACCAAAATAAAATAAATAATATCATCATTCTGTTGACAAAATTGACATTTGTATTAAAAAAAATGTCACTCACTGCCTTCACTGCCTGCCTGCTGCTGGCTGTTGGCTCTTGGCTTAGAGATGTGTCCAAGTAACTGTAACGGTTACTTTGTAACGGGTACTGGCTTTTACGGGGAGTAACGGTTACTCAAAATCTTAAATACCCGTTACAAAAGTACCCGGGTACTTCTAATATCTAATCTATCTAGGGAGTTAGGAAAAGTGTGTGGTGTGTACAGGTAATGGTAGCCGTACCCGTTACGGCGTTACAGTCAGTACCCGTTTAAAAGTAACTTTGTTTGACGTGACGTGAACAGTTTATTGCTGAGCTGACACAGCAGCAGCGCTCTTGTTAGCTGTAGGGGCACTTTTAGGAACTACGTTTTTTAATTTAGGCCTAACTACAACTAACTGTCACCAGGTAATAAATAATGTAAGGGAATTAATTCCTGAATATATGCCTACTTTTTTCATTTCGATATTTTACTCAATTAAGGTTACTGTTACTGCAATAAAGTAAATTTACCGTTGGGTTTATATTTTGTGCGATAATTTTTTTAAAATAAATAGGTTAAAGTGGTAAGCCTTTTCATACAACCACTTTACAAATTTGAATAAACATAACAGACACAAAAGGAGGTAAAGGGGTACTCAGTTACTCAGTATCAGTACCGATTTCATGGTATGAATCCAAAATGTCAAGTAGAATACTCTACCTACCTGGACCTACACTGGACTAGAGTTAGAGTACTTCTGTAACCGGGTACTTTTGTAACGGGTACTTGTAACTGGTACTTTAGAGTACCTGTAACTGTTGTACCCGGGTACAGGAAAGTACCCTTTTAGCCCACCTCTATCTTGGCTGCTAGTGCTATGCTAACTAACTGTTAACAGCTGACATCTTCTTTATCTTTACTTCTTTTTTCCCTAATTACCTATTGGCTGACTTGGTGTTATTTGACACCATGTAGACAATTTTACGCAATCTTCTGAATTTAATTTCTTTTTTATGGGTTAATCTTAATAGTTTTATTTCACATTTATCTGTATCAAACATATAGATTGTTGTTAGTCACTGATGCCATTTATGTTTATGTTTTGTTTTGTTTGAATTTTAGTTAGTATGTGTGGTTTAATGAGAGATAATTCCACGGCCGCCTTTAACTCCCTGCCGCGGCCTTTGAAATGGCAACGTCGCAAGTAGGGTTGTAACAGCTGTTTTGTTTGGAAGCAGCTAATGGTATTTTTGTCTTTACGAAAGATTGGTTGGTCTAGAAAATTAATTATTGCCGTATAAATAGTTATTTGTGTAACTAGTGAGCAAAGTGGCACTTTGCTGCACACGAGGCAACACGTTTACGCAGGAGCCGCAGGCGAGTGCGGAATGATTTTGAGTGCAGCAAAGGCCTTTTGCACTCGTGTTACACATTATATTTTTCCTACAGTCACTATAAAGCATATGAATAATTAGTCTTTCAAACACTACACAACACGTTTTATATTCAGCTGGCAACACAAATAGGGAACGCGCCAAGGCGCCACCACGTCAACCCGCCATCAAAAAGAAGAAGAAGTTTGAGGTGGCGGGTTGACGTGGTGGCTCGTTGTTGGGGTGGCACGTTGACTCTAGCGTGCACGACAACCCGTCACCTCGGAAAATTGTGTGGTAGCGGGTTGTCGTGGTGGCACGTTGTCCTGGTGGTGCTTAGACGTGTTCATACACGTCAACCAGCCACCTCTTTAGTGTGGTGGCGGGTTGACGTGGTGGCTGGTTGACGTCTACGTGTGAGGTGGTGGGTTGACGACACCGAACATTGAGCGTACACGACAACCCACCACCTCATAAAATAGTGATGGCGGGTTGACGCGGTGGCACGTTGTCGCTTACATGCGAGGTGGCGGGTTGACGAGAGTTAACATGGGGTGTTCAATGAAATATTTCCATGTGTAATTGTGATTAATTTATCCAGTGATAATATCTGGAGGAAGCACTGGTTTAAAATGTTCAAATACTTCAACAAGTTGTTTTAGTTGGTTTGTAAGTTATGTACTGTTACAATGGTGTGACATTATTAAACGTCAAAACATGGTTTTATGAGATTCATTATAAATCCTGACATAAAACTTTCCATAAACACAAAAGGTCATATAGTCCGTATATCTGAGCAAGTCGTTCAATATTATTTAAAAGATAAATGGATTGAAAAGGTGACTCCTGCAGCATTTCCCGTGTTCGGCCAGAAGAACAGGACTAACAACTGTCATGAAACACTTAATTAGTCCAGTCAAGGAATGAGGTGTAGAGTGCGTGAGCAGGTAACTAAGCGATTCCTTCAGAAACTTGTTCAGGGGGCTTAGGGTGTTAACATACCAAAAGTCCTGACTCCTAGGTGGTGAGCCAGGGGGTGGAGGGGGGAAAAAGGTATGCATTATGGGTTTTTTTATTATATCTCGAAAACTATCAACTTTTTGTATACTATAGTAATTTATAAAATTGAAGAAGATTAAATTTTCTACAAGAAAAGTATATACTGTAATGTGTTTATTTTGGTTCAACAGATTACGAGTTATAACTTATTTAATTGATATCTTATTAAAATCTTCTTCCATAAGGAATACATGTAAATGAGTATGCGAAATGGGGCGAATCCTATCCGCCTAAATGAAATATAAATGATATTCTGGAAATCTTGACAAAATTTCCAGTAATTTGACACTTTAATAATTAAAATTGATCCAAAATTAAGGCGAGGGCGAGGTAACAAAATTTCGAGTTTTGGTGTTTTTTTTTATTGGAAATATAAAAAAAATCCTTAAATCATCCCATTTTTAAACGCTCACCCTCGCTTTAATTTTTGACAAAATTTCATGATTAAAGTGTCAAATTACTGGAAATTTTGTCAATATTTCCAGAATATCAGTTATATTTCCTTTGGGCGGATAGGATTCGCCCCATTTCGCATACTAATTTACATGTATTTCTTATGGAAGGAGTATTTTAATAAGATATCAATTAAATAAGTTATAACTCGTAATCTGTTGAACCAAAATAAAAACATTATATACTTTTCTTGTAGAAAATTTAATCTTCTTCAATTTTATAATTTACTATAGTATACAAAAAGTTGATAGTTTTCGAGATATAATCAAAAACCCAAAATGCGTACCTTTTTCCCCCCTTTTTCCCCCCTCCACCCACTGGCTCACCACCTAGGAGTCAGGACTTTTGGTATGTTAACACCCTAAGCCCCCTGAACAAGTTTCTGAAGGAATCGCTTAGTTACCTGCTCACGCACTCTACACCTACTTTTGGATCATTCATTGACTGGACTAAATATGAACATTAATCGTAACATATAAACATTTTGCTGGGCCCGCTTGTGAGGTACAATTCTTCTTTCATTTCTCTTAGTCAGCTGGTGTCTTTGTTGATACGTGTTTTTTTTTTTCATTTTGGCGAAATAAAAAAAGGCGTAATGACTAACTAAATGATCGAAGCATAACCAATTTATAATACATTTTAAAACTAGGGCGTAAAGTGACTAATTTCAACATGAGCTTAAGTTGCAATAGATATAATAGGTACAATCGATCGATTTAATCTAAAGAAAGCATCGTGTTAATTTCAGATCATATCAACTGTATTTTAGATTATTCAAATTTATTTTACAAAATATCAAATGAAGTTGAGAATTGCAAGATGTATGTGAGAAGGCATCTTTATTAATTTAAGATAAGTGAATTATACGTATTTTAGCATTCGAGAAATTGTGGTTCGATAATGAGGAAATAAAAATTCAGCTTAGTTAGTTTTGTGGTTTAAATCACAAAAGTTAATAATAACATTGACCATTCTTACATGATAATAACCATTGTACTGTAACTTCCACAGTCATGGGGGTTGTTTTGTACCATTTTGTTCAAAGTTAAAAGAGCCATAACTTCAGCACCTTGCCAGGGGTTGACCCCGACGTGATGTCAAACGGAGAAAAATCAGTAGACAGAATTTTCAAGTCAAGATTACCCCCCTTTCGGGCTCTCAGATCCAGAATTATTGTGGTTTGCACAAATTGAAACCCAGTTTTCTCTAGCGGGGATCATATGGTCGACGAAACTAAGTTCTTTCACGTCGGGGTCACCAAAATGAAGTTGTAAACTCACAAATTCAAGATGATAATAAAAAATACGTGTATTTAGTAGAAAGATAAAGTGAACAATAATTGAATGAATAGTAAAAAAATCATATCATATGTTAAATAAAAATTAATGTACAGGTATAGTGTTAGCAAAACGGGAGTGCCGATAGAGACCTGTGGGGGTGCGTGCGTTTGAAGGGACTTGACCTGGTCTCCATCGTAAATAATCCGTAAGTAGTCAGAAGTCACTACGGTGGAAACTGTGCAACGGAACCAGACTTACGATTTTTTTAAACTTGATCGACGAAGCAACAATCATCAGTGGTAAGTTTAAAGGTGAAATAGTCTAATCCACGAATACTGGAAAAATACCGGTATTTATCATAAACATAAACAAATTACGTTTTTGGCCAGAAATTAAACAAAACCCCTATACTAATGCATTAACTAAGATATGGTTTTGTTTAATTTCGGGATTAAAACATTATTTGTTTATGTTTATAATCCATACCGGGTCTTTTCTACTATTCGTGGTCTAATCACAGAATACCGATCATTTCACCCGATCATTTTACCTTTTGAATTCAAGTGAATACACTTTTCTTTGCGTCTTGCTTTCGCAATCACCATTATATGGCACATGGGCAATCCCTGACTATCACCGGTTTAAATTTATAAAATGCACGCTTTTCACATGTTGCGTGCGCACGTGGTGGTAGGTAAGCATAAAAACTTATATATATATATTTATACGCCTAACGAAAAAAAATGGTTTATTCTATTTTTGTTTTTGGTATACATTTTAGCGAATTTCCCTATAGGGAAGTAGTTATTACCGTAGGTGGCACGGTAAGACCTAGACCCGGGACCGATTTACTTTTTCATTTTGATGTCCCCAGAGGCCAAAAACACCATTCGTTCAAATTTTTATATATGTATATATATATAGACTTATATATATACATATACGTCCGTGAACGCGATAACTTGAGTAATTTTTGTCCGATTTTGATGAAATTTGGTTTAAAGGTGTAAAGCGGGATAAACTTGAATGAGTTCGCGAACCAGCACGATCGGACCATGGGAACGGGGCTTTACGGGGGGTTTTATGGGGTAAAAATTGTTTTTTCTCACTTTTGACCCTCAAAACACAAAATTTCCCGATTTCTCTGTAAACCTTTTTAAAGAGCTTAAAAAAACAAATAATTTAGTATATAAAAGTATTTTTGTTCGATTATTAGTAACGGAGAAAATTAAAAAAATTGTAAATTTAAAATTCTCATGTTATTCTTATGGAGAATATTGTCAAATGTTGCAGTTTTCTTGTTTATGGATATATTTTGATCAAACTTGGCAAATTTATTTATTTTGTACTAAGCTATCAATATTTTACTCAAAAACACACTTTATTAGTTTCCTTGTAGCAGCAAACCTAGGTACTCGTTAAACATAATGTTATTAAAATATATTTAACTGAAAATCAATTCAGACAAATGGAAATTCGCTTAGTCGGCAGGTTTGCTGCGGCGGGGGTATTTATGATCTCTTATATCTCATGTATTAATATAAGAGATCATAAAAATGTATACTGTTTTTTATGAACACTATTCCTCCCTTATTTGTAGACAAATTTCAACGTTTAAGGTGTTAAAAGATTCGGCTCAATTCGTAGTTTTGAATTAAGGTTTTATACTTTTATAATTTAAAAGTTCCTACCCTTAAGGGCGTAAGACCCTATCAAATGTCTGGTTTTCACCATGTTAATAATTGTTTCCAGAAATGCTATTAAAGAGTTACATTAACTTTCTCTAAATTAACTGAATCCAAGTACAATATATTTAATGCTACAGAATATAAATCTAACCGATTTACGACAAGAGTGCATGGTGGCGGGTTGTCGAGGTGGCACGTTGTCGCCTATGATCGAGGTGGCACGTTGACGGCACCAAACACGGAGCGTACACGTCAACCCACCACCTCGTAAAAGAGTGGTGGCGGGTTGACGGGGTGGCACGTTGTCGCCTACGTGCGAGGTGGCGGGTTGCCGACATCGAACATGGAGCTTCACGACAACCCGCCACCTCTGATAAAAACTGGTGTTGGTGGGTTGTCGTGGTGGCATGTTGTCGTGGTGGCTTATTGACTTGAGTGTGTACGACAACCCGCCACCTTGGAAAATTGTGTGGTGGTGGGTTGTCGTGGTGGCCTGTTGTCGAGGTGGCGGGTTGACCTGTACGTACACGTCAACCCGCCACCTCGGTTTTTTTGTGGTGGCGGGTTGACGCCTCTGACCAAAACACCGAGGTGGCGGTTTGACGTGGTGGCGCATTGACAGCGACCCGCTCTGTCTGTACGCTCTGTATGACATAATTTCTGTCGTCGTCTTGTTCTTGTTCCTTGTTGTGTGGTTCGTTGTTTCACGTTTCGTGATGTTCTGTTCGTTCAATATTCATTGTTTGTTCAGTCTTCAGTCTGCTCTGCTCATTGCTCAGTCAGTTCAGTCGTTCAGTCGAGTCAAGTCAGAGCCCAGAGGGCGTTGTTAAAGTGTGTTTCGTGTTTTGAGTTTGACTTTGACTGTTTTGTGTTGTGTGTTGTGTTAGTTATAAAATAATTATTTTGAAAATAATCTATCCATGAATTGAAGGGTTATTTCTTTCACAAAGCTATATTCATTTAACCTTATTTCAAAGTTTCTCGTATGGTATCTTCTGTTCTTCGAAAATGAGTTTAACAAAGGGAATATTTAAATGCTGAGAGGAAGGATTTGCGTTTGTTTGACAGTTTTGCCATATTTTAGGTTAGTTACCGAGTCTTATGTTTGGAGATAGGTAATAATATGTTATCCAATGTTAACAGCTAAGCTAAAAGCTTTTTATCATTGGAATAAATTATTAGAGCTAATACACAACCATACATAATAACATAATCCATTGTTACATAACCTCTGGTAGATGAGTAAGCCTAAGTAGATTCAGTAGGTAGAATAGGCTATAACGTAACTAGGCATATACCACGAATAATTAAAAAGAAGGTTTTATCCCAGTATTCATGGCTTATGCCCATAAGGCCACATCATATGGAAGTAAGCAACGAGATCATTTAAACAATGCAATCATTTTTGAATATACTATTATAGATAATAATCTACTTACGTATCACGTATGCCAGTAGGTGTCAATTATTAAAACTTGATATGCTGTACATGTTTCAAGCCTAAATACGGCTCATCTTCAGCAGCATTTTTCTATGTACAATTTTCACATCGAGAGATGATTGTCGACTATATACAGACCACATATACACACAAACAGCATATCAAGTTTTAATAATTGACACCTACTGGCATACGTGATACGTAAGTAGATTATTATCTATAATAGTATATTAAAGGTGTCAAGGCTGATTAATTTGATATCATTTTTGAAGTTGTTGCTATTTCAATAGGGAGAAAACGAAAACAGTAACTTAACTTAAGGGTTAGGCCTATACCTAAATAAACAACCCGCACATAACCTACTCATAAGCTGCTTCCTAATCTAACCTAACCTCTAGACAATAGACAGTTTCCTTTATTTGTAATTTCGTCAAGAAATACAATGGTGTCACATAGCATATAACTTAGGCCTAAGTTCTTTTGGCTCCTCTAAACACTTAATTCCACTAATCCGCTTAAACTCCGGGTAATTATTTGGACGTAGTGACTACTCGCAAAAGTGAAATTTTTTTTTCATAATGACCTCAATTTCACGCTGAATCCGAAAATGACGTTTTTATTTTTCGGAAAATACCGGAAATTCCCTAAAAAAGGGGAAAACAGGAAAATTTATTATTAAATTATTAAATTTATTAAATTACTCAAAATACGTCATGTGGGTACTTAAAATACGCGGAAAATTGTGTAGATTAAGAATATGCAAGATTTTTTTTGATCCGATGAAAAACACCGGAGATAGGGCGAAAAAACTGAATAATCGGTAAGGTTAGGTTAGGTTTGGTTAGGTTGGGTTGGGTTAGGTAAGATTAGGTTTGGTTAGGTTAGTTTATCAATATCATGAGTATTGTAAGTAAACTAACCTAACCTAACCTAACCTAACTTACCTAACCAAACCTTAGTTAGGTTTGGTTAGTTTAGGTTAAGTTTGGTTAGGTTAGTTTATCAATAACATGAGTGTTGTAAGTAAACTAACCAAACCTAACCTAACTAAGGTTTGGTTAGGTTAGGTTTGGTTTGGTTAGGTTAGGTTAGTTTACTTACAATACTCATGTTATTGATAAACTAACCTAACCAAACTTAACCTAAACTAACCTAACCTAAACTTAACTACAAACCTAACCTAACCAAACCTAATCTTACCTAACCCAACCCAACCTAACCAAACCTAACCTAACCTAACCAAGCCTAACCTAACCTTACCGATTATTCAGTTTTTTCGCCCTATATCATGTGTTTTTCATCGGATCAAAAAAATTCTTGCATATTCTTAATCTACACAATATTCCGCGTATTTTAAGTACCCACATGACGTATTTTGAGTAAAAAAATTTTTTCCCGTTTTTCCCTTTTTTAGGGAATTTCCGGTATTTTCTGAAAAATAAAAACGTCATTTTCGGATTCAGCGTGAAATTTAGGTCATTATGAAAAAAAAAAAAATTTACTTTTGCGAGTAGTCACTATGTCCAAATAATTACCAAACTCCGACCTGCCTTTCCCATATTCCTAAATAAGATCAGTGGTCAATTTGTGTTTTCATTGAAGGCCTAAGTTATGCGTTTGATATTTTGTAACAATTATTGTGCTTTCAATGCCTTTGTAATTCACTTATTGATTGTCTCCCTGTCTGCTACTTTGTGAGTAGACATAACCACAGACCAAGCCTTGAGCATGACTTAGCCTATTGTACAGTTTGTATTTAATGGCCAAATAAAATGATTTATGACCAATAGCAACGCTCCAACAAACCAAGCGACATGACAGTAGTCCTACCATAATAACCAATGTTTAGGTTGGTATTGGCTAAATTTCCCAACACGGACAATTTTTTGAGTACACTTCCATATCTGTTGGCACAAACAACCGAATGAAAATATTGATCGATATATCGATTATTCGATACATGGTTTGGTTAGGCTAGGTTTGGTTGTACCTCACTAACCAAACCAAATATTGAATTAAACAATCGAATAATCAATCAGGTAGGCCTACTCATTCGGTTGTTTGTGCCAACAGATATGGAAGTGTACACAATTTTTTATTCTTCCCGGCTATTTAAGTTACCCATTCTTCCTGGATAAGTTAATTGAGATAGCTACTCATATAAGTCACCCTTTCACCCATCTAAATTAAACTTAGGTCTAACTTACCCTTTTCTCCTGATGATTGACCTTTGTTAGAGGCCATCCCACCGAAAACCCCCAATTCCTATCGGGTCATTAAATTTTCAAATTGAGGACCCTCTTGTGTCAGTTACTTTTCTGTTGTTTAAGCATGAAGAGACTACCGTTGACTAATGTTTTAGTGTACTGTCATGTTGTCCCAATCAATGTGGATTTTATCATTGATAACACTTTTGTAAAAAAAAGCGTCAGACGTTCCCTGTCTGTCGTTATAAGCTCGAGTATTGTTTTCATATTGGTTCTTGCAGCAATATCTGTCTTGTTCCGCAAGCAAGTGGCTTAAGAGTTTATACGACAACCACGCTCAAAGAGTTTCTTATAAATGTTCTTGTTTGTGGTTTTTTTGCACTTTATGCGTTACTAAACCGGCCATCGGATCGTGATAAAACTTTGGGAAGTTTTTCTATACACTCGCGGGAAGGTTTCTGTCCCATTCCCGGTCTTGAACTCCCTTGGAGCTCTGTCCCAGTGGCTCTGGAATTTCCCATGTTTAGGCCTACCTTATGTGAATTCATGTTTTAAAAGAATCCATAGAGATGCATTTCGACAGGTGTTTCAAATAAGTAATAAACAAATAAGTGGGGCTCTATGATATTCAATAGCATTGAGTACAACAGTTTATTTTTTATCGGCCCCATTGCAAAGTACAGGTACAGCAGGTAGACCGAATAAAACCTGTAACTTCATAAAAATCATTGCAAATTTCCTATTCTAACCCTTTATCTTTAGTTTTAGCTGTTACCATTAGCTAACCTAAAGTAAAATAGTGATAGTTTTCGTTAAAAAAATTAATACCTGGTGGAATTAAAGCAAACCTGCTTCTTGTCCGATTCCCAACAGATTTTGATCAAGAAAGAGATAAAATCATTAGGTACAGCTAATCAGATGTCATGTTAAATTTTGCTCCTGTCAGAACACACTTTTCTACAGGGCCGGATTTCCCAATAGGCCCGGTAGGCCTAGGCCTATGGGCGCGAGCTCCCAGAGGGCGCACGGCCGAGAGGAAAATATTTTTTTTATATATAAAAAATTATAATAAAAAGTCATAATTGATAAAAAAAACTCTGGCTAATTAAGCATTCTGATTTTGAAGTACATAGGAAGAAATAATTGTTAGACAATTAAAACTATAGACATTGCTGTTACCACACTCACCTCGCAAAACAATTGTTATTAATTAATCTTTTGGATAACAATCTGCAGGATCAAGTTAAAATATACAATACGTTGTGTTGGATATTTAAAAAAAAGTATGAATTTATCTTTAAAATTAACAAAAAAATTTTATAGGTTTTAGTTTAAGAAAAATTCAATACCCTCCAAAGCAGCATTATTGCTGTAATTTTCTCCTCAGACCAAAAAATCTGTATGGTTGGCCGGATTATTGCTCTATTTTTCTTTGGAAATATAACCTAGATGCAGTACAACCATAGATTAAATATTACCATTGACTATTGATATAACTCAAGTCGACTTCTTATCAAATTGTTAAATAAAAAATTGTTTATGCCTATTTCATGTTGGTGACACTGGACGTTAGTTTTGACGTAATTTTGTTATATTATTTTAGGGCTAAGTTATGATGTGTGTTTTAATATCTTGTAATATAACCATGAGACGAACTATTGTTTAGATCGTTTCATTTTGGATAAACTAGTTTTAAATAACAAGAATTGTTTTCAGCTAATCCATACCATAATGATGACAAATCTAATAAAGGAGTATGTTTAATCTATGGTATCAGTATCACATACTGTATGGAGTTCATGTTTTTTGGCCTGAATTTGGAATCAATTGCCATGTTTTTTGCAGGAATGCTCAGTGGGGGTGGGTTGAGTTGTTTTGTTTCAGTCCCACAAACGTGAGCATTTACTAAAAGCATAAAATTATGTAAAGTGTTTAAGACAGCATTTTGTGAAGGCTAAACAAGTAAATTCTTCAAAAAAACTTTCAATGATAAAATTCCGACGAGGAGTGGTATACAATCAATTAACTATTAGGCTTATGGGCATGATATAGTTTTTAATAAAGGTTTGAAGGAAAGTAACTGTGACCAGACTAGGGGCGGGAAATTATTTGGGCCTAGGGGCGCCAAAAAGCTAAATCCGGCCCTGCTTTTCTATCTAGTTATCTTTGGAACTTGAAGACAACATGTTTTTAAATATACCAGAGAACATTATGTCACGAAATTAAGGAAATAAGTGAATGGAGATAGAACGGGAATAGTATTTTGGTTTAAAACATTATGATTTTGTTCCAGAGAGAGTATTGAAGCTCTTTGTAGAAAGGCAGTTAATTTTTCAAATAAAAAAAAAGTTGTCCCTTAGTTTGACTTTAGTTTCCCATAGGCTATGTCCAATTTAGCTTAGGTGATTAGGCTATAAGAATGGATTTAATCCTTAATAATAAAATGCAAAGCCCTCACTGACTGACTCACTCATCAATCACTAATTATCCTACTTCCCTTTTAACTAGGAAGCTGAAATTTGTTGCACTGATTCTTTAGGCATTAAATAGAAAAACTAAGTAGTTTTTATTCTGATCGGACTTTTGGGCTCCGCCCCAGTGGCTCTGGAGTTTCCTATGTTAACCTTATGAGTACGGTATATCTATATTTAATTCCGTAAGCGAATCGGTCCCCACAAAATATTTCGAGCTAGGTAAAAGGTAGCATGACTGTTGAGGATTCATTTAAAAGCTTAAGGTCCAAGGACGGTGGGAAAAATGTCAGAACTGTAAAAAATTACCCCTACAGACCCACATGCCGTCAAAGATCTGGTCATTTTCTAATGAAAGTACTGCTACAGTGTATAGGCCTAAGCTGCTTTAATCATACCAACCGATGTAAACATTACGTATTTGTATGTTTATTAATTTTAGTGTTCTGTTTTTAGGTTAGAATGGTAATGCAGTGTTGAAATGTATTGTGTTGGGGGTAGACCGTGACTAAATGTGTAAAAAATGCATTTCTTTTAAATTCGCATTCATAACTTCTATAAAGCAGCAATTGCAGCTATGGTCCCCTAGTTCATATTTAAAAGAAATTAATGCATCTTAACAGCTGTTACAGTTAAAACAAGTTGTTTCTGTGATTTTCAATAACATTATAAAGTCACAAGATTTACCAACAGGGTGCAGTTACCTATATAGGGTACTAGCTGTACCCGCGGGCTTTGCCCCGTTTAACTTCACAAGTGAGCTCGTTTGCGTGGCTCAATCACGCCCTGGTTGAAGTTCGTTCGCTACGCTCACTCACCTTTAGGTTGGAGCTCGTTCGCTCCGCTCACTTGCCTTCAGGTTAGCTCGTTCGCTACGCTAACTCGTTTCCAGGTTGAAGTTCGTTCGCTACGCTCACTCACCTTTTGGTTGCAAATTGGGGCTGTAGTCAAAAATTAAAAAAATATTAGTGCTGTACCCTGTTGGTAATCCTTGTAACTTTAATGCTATTGAACATCATAGAACAGAACCAACTTGTTTAATTGAAACAGCTGTTAGATTCATTAATTCCTTTTAAGTATGAAAAATCATAAGGTTAACATGGGAAACTCCAGAGCCACTGGGGCGGAGCCCGAAAGCCTGATCAGAATAAAAACTCCTTAGTTTTCCTGTTTAATGCCCAAAGAATTGGTGTACCGAATTTCAGCCTCCTAGGTAAATGGGAAGTGGGAGAATTAGTGATGAGTGAGTGAGTCAGTCAGTCAGTCCTCAGTGAGGGCTTTGCCTTTTATATATTTAGATGTTTGAATCAGCTGTGTGGAATTGTGAAATCAAAATGCATTTGACCGTTCTTCTTGTTGACATTGTGAGTTTGCTCTTTGTTGCAATGGAGACCAATCAATATTTGCTTTTAAAAGCCTCACATCAGAACTTTGAAAGCCCACGGGGAAGAGCCCTGAAGTCAATTTCAAAGCGGGAATAGCTCTAAACTGTTCCTGTGAAATTTAAATCAAATCTGCTCAGTAGTTTTTGCCTTTATCTCGTACAAACAGACATACACCACCTCTTCTTTATAATATTATATAGAATATAGATATAGATTAACAAATTTTTTTGTTTGATTCCAAAATAATTACTTTGTAGCAAATAGTTACGGCAATGATAAACCTGCTGAAATAAACTTTGCCAAATTATAAATTATGACTAAAAACTCTATATGTACCTTCACTAAGTATATCAACTCTGTTTACATTGTAGAACCGGATTTAATTTTTAGTTACTCATACCAGTATTTATCTGCCTTTCTGACTTGAGACATATTTCATTATTGATAACATTATCAGTACAGAAAAGGGTCTTGGTAAATATGCTTACAACTCCATTTGTTGGTGGTGTTCATTTCTGCATGCTTAAATTTAACTTTTTATGTTATAGAAATACATACACGTCGGTTATTCATTCAAAAAATACATTTTATATTACAGTTATAAAAAAACACATTTAACAAACATACTGACACAACAAAAATAGATACAGATTTTTCTAAAATAAGAACATGTCAAATTGACCGTTTACTGTAATGTTTCCATTGTAACATACTACATTGCACATACTTATTGCATGTTACAATTTGAAGAAGATCAATCAGAATACGTAGTTTTGAATAAGGAATTCATCCTAAACACTCAAAGCCATGCATTATTTGGCTCATAATTGATTTTGCAAGCTTATATTCTAGTTCATATCATGGTTTGAATAATGTTGAAACTCATCATAAAAAGTAGAAGATGATTAATTGTTTATAACAAAAAATCAACTGGAATTTGTTTAGTAAGTTGATTTTTTAATCTAGTTTTAACTCAAATAAAATTAAATAGGCCTAACTTTTTTTATTTAACAGAGATACGAGATAGTGTGTGTAGCCTATGTTAAGAAAATTTTTTCTTTACTTTATTTTTCTGTTCTAAAATGGGTTTTAAATAAGTTAGTTGACTTTTAGTTGTTAGTACAAGTTGTTTGTGTTTTTTCTTCAAGTATTTAGTGTGCACACTTTTGACAGTATTATTTCCAGGAGCAAAGCTAACATAGACCTAAGTTAGTATTAATGACCTCTTTTTTGTAATAGCTGAATTAACAATAAATACAAATATCACGGACAGTGTGCACTTTTTAAGTGATTCCATAAAAAAATATGTTTAGCGACTTCCAGGTAAAAATGAACATCAAACTCAATCACTGTTGACATGTAGCTATGTACCATGTTCAGCATTGTAATATCAACTGGGAGGTATGTACAAATAAGTTGTGATTTCAGGGCAAACAACAGAATGCCATTCCTATCCTAAAAAGGTAACTATTACTACTTGTATCTAGTCTCTCCATATGTGGATTACAGGTTGTCTGATAGGTATATAGTCATTGTAGCAGTTGTATAGGTCTCTGTTGTATTAGTGTCAGGTGTTCATGTCTCTGATATGTACAGGGGCAGTCCACGGAGATACAACAGCAGCATGGTCCAGCAGTCAGTCAAGCTACGGGTGGACAATGTGGTCAAGTCTGTGGAAGATAAACGCAGCTACCGAGGTCTGCAGCTGCAGAACGGCCTCCGGGTGTTGCTCATCAGCGATCCTACCACGGACAAATCAGCAGCAGCTATGGACGTCAATATTGGTACTGTCAAACTCTACTTTGCTATGTCCAATCTGAAATCAGTTTATAAACTGTTGATTTAAAATCGTCTTGTCAGAGTTATATAATCAACAAGTTTTTAGCAACTGCCCTGTTTATTGTGCTTTTTGAATATTTGTTTTATGGGCAGTGTCCTAAAAAAATACTTTACCAGTCCAACCAGAGAATTACACTTATTCCGGTAACAAATTGTGGTAATATTTTTCACATCTTATAAAAACAATTTCACATAAAATTGTATGTGTTTGCAGGTTTTATGTGTGACCCTAAAGAGCTACCAGGCCTGGCTCATTTCTGCGAGCACATGCTATTCTTGGGAAGTGAGAAATATCCTGTAGAGAACGAGTACAACAAGTACCTGTCAGAGCACGGTGGTAGCAGCAACGCGTCCACCTCAAGTGATCACACCAACTTCTACTTCGACATTGTACCTGAGCATCTGTCTGGCGCTCTGGACCGGTAATCTGTCACTGCTCACATATTGATGCCTATCAACAATATCTCCATAATAACATTAATCGCAGCCAAGCGAGCTATTTAAAATGTGACATCAGCACTGTGTTCTTTAGCCTACTTCTCCAACTACTATTCTAGCTGGTTCCAACACCTATGCAAAAGTTAGTCTTGTGTCAGTAGTTGGTAACAATATAAGGGAAAATATAGATTTGGACCAGCCTGCTGAATCACGTTGTAGATGTTAATTCACAGACAACACTTGTATTATATAACCCCATAAAAAGTAAATAATTGTTAAGTTTTGTGCATTTAAAAATTTTAAGTTTGTAATTTAATTTTGAAATAAGAAAATGCATGAGAAGGCCTATTCTGTTAACATTGTATATCCCAAACTGTTAGTAATGATATAACTGACTTTTAGCGAATTTCCCATATAGGGAATAAGCTATTACTGTAGTACCCATGGTAAGACCTGGACTCGGGACTGATGTACTTTTTCATGTTGAGGTCCCTAGAGGCAAAAAACACCATCCATTCAAATTCATATATATATATATATATATATATATATATAAAGGGATAGTAAAAAGTCTGGAGACCCCCTGTTAATTTTTAATGGCCCATACTAGAAAAACTTAACTTGGCACACGTTTTTGGCATGTTATCAAGTACTTTTTGGGCATAACTGCCACTTGGTGTACATTCCCAAAATTGGGGATTTTGGGGGAAACTCAAAAATTTCAAATGGTGAGACCCCTCATTTTGAAAGTCCTAGTAAAAGAAAAACAACAACGCAAACTAGAGGTCTCTATCTCAATCCAGTAACAAATGACAGTCAATTGAAATTCTTAGAAGTTAAATTTAACTTACAGCTTTCCAAGTCTGGAGACCCCCTGAATATTTTGTAACGGCTCACAGTAGGAAAACCAAACTCTACACACCTTTATGGCATTATATGAAGTACTTTTTGAGCCTAATTGCTATTTGGTTCCCAAACCCAAAATAGGGGATTTTGGGGGAAACTCAAAATTTTTGAATGTTAAGCCCCATCGAATGACCCCTCATTTTGAAGGACGTGATAAAAGAAAACTAACAACGCAAACTAGAGGTCTCTATCTTAACACAGTAAAATATGGTAGCTAATTGAATATAAAATTGCAAGTTAATTCTGATTTCTAAAGATTTCAATCAGCTGCCATTTTGTACTGGATTGAGATAGAGACCTCTAGTTTGCGTTGTTAGTTTTCTTTCATCACGACCTTCAAAATGAGGGGCCACTGGATGGGGCTTAACATTAAAAAGTTTTGAGTTTTCCCCAAAATCCCCCTTTTCGGGTTTGGGAACCAAGTAACAATTAGACTTAAAAAGTACTTCATAACATACCATAAAGTTGTGTAGAGTTTCGTTTTCCTAGTGTGAGCCGTTACAAAATTTACAGGGGGTCTTCAGACTTGGAAAGCTGTAAGTTAAATTTAACTTCTAAGAATTGCAATTGGCTACCATTTTTTACTGGATTGAGATAGAGACCTCTAGTTTGCGTTGTTAGTTTTCATTTATCACGACCTTCAAAATGAGGGGTTACTAGATTGGTCTTACCATTAAAAATCTTTGAGTTTCCCCCAAAATCCCCCATTTTGGGGGTGTACACCAAGTTGCGGTTATGTTTAAAAAGCAGGGTGTCCCAGAAAGGAATGCACTTTTAAAACGAACAAAACACGAAATCGGCTTTATTTACAGCTATTTTCCCAATAATACCTGTTTGTACACTTCAGGGAAATTCTTTGTGAAAGATTATTTCATCCAGTTGTAAATCTCTACGGTGCCGGCACTCCACCACACGAAACCTTACACCTGCGAAAACTCGATGGCAGTTTCTGGTGTGATGGCTTAAATTTACTCGCGAATGTTTGGCTTTAGATGATCTTGGGTTGCAAGAACATTGTTGTACACCCGACTACCCACACAAAAAAAGTCTAGTGGAGCTAGGTCTGGGCCTCTCGAAGGAAATTTGGTGTCACCAAATCTGGAAATCACTTTCCCACGAAACAGCTGCCTTATTGTAGTCATGGAGACTCCTGCTGTATACCCATGCTGTATTTTTTTAATGCCTGTACTAATTGAATTTTGTACGGGTGTAACTTCAAATTCTGTTTCAAAATGCGGTGAATACTGGTTCAGGGTATATTGAAAACAGCAATGTATTCTTACCGATCAATGTCGATTATCCTCCACAGCATCTTAAACACGGTCAATATTTTATTCAGAATGCGCTTCTCTATGGTGACCAATGGGACGACGTTTCATAATTGGTCCTGTAGCTTCAAATTTGCGTACCCAGCATTTGAGATCAAGTCTGTATTGAGCGCGGAAATGTAGTCAAACTGTCTCATTAGAAAGCGTTTGGTAATAGTGTGTACACAGAAATCACGCTGCTCACCGGAAAAGATATCCATGGCAAATAAATTTCCACGGGCATGGCTACAAAGCTCTGATAAGCATCTTATCTTATCTCTCTTGGACATTCGGCTTTAGCCAAAATAAAAGTGCAATCCTTTCTGGGACACCCATTACTTCATAACATACCATAAAGGTGTGCCGAGTTTAGTTTTTCTAGTATGGGCCGTTAAAAAATTAACAGGGGGTCTCCAGACTTTTTACTAACTCTGTATAATATGTGTGTATCCGTTAACACGATAACTCAAGAAAAAATGATCCGATTTTAATGAAATTTAGTACAAACTTTTAAACCTACATTTATTCTAACGAGTTCGCAAACCAGCATGATCGGACTATGGGAACGGGGGTTTATGGGGGGTTTTATGGGGTAAAAATAGGTTTTTCCCATTTTTGACCCTAAAACACAAAATTTCACAATTTCTTTCCAAACCATTTTGTAGAGCTTAAAAGAACAAATAATTTAGCATATTGAAGCGTTGTTGTGCGCCTAATGGTTACGGAGAAAATTCCTAAAAATTGTAAATTTAAAATTCCCATGTTATTCTTATGGAGAATAAGTCAACTGTTGTAATTTGCTTGTTTATGAACATATTTTGATCGAATTTGGAAAATACATTCATTTCTTACTAACTATTAACATTTTACAAAAAAACTACCTTTTTACCCTCCCTGTTGCAGCAAACCTAAGTACTCATTAAACTAATTCTATTTAAAAAGGGAATAAAATGTGATATTTTTAAGGAGGCATTTTAGTTTAAATCCTTAGGCTAATGGAAATTTGCTTAGTCTGCAGGTTTGCTGCGGCGGGGGTGTTTTTAAATAATGATTTGTTACATTCCCAATATCAATTAATTTTCTGCCTGCTCCATCTAGCTACATTGTTTGAAAGAGTGACTACTTATCCAGTGACAATTTGCCGTATAGGCAATTTAATTTTTTAAAGAATTGATTAGTAGTGTACTTAAACCCGTTTGTTGAAACCGACTTTAGAACGCATGCAAGCTAACATAACATTATGATTGGGAAAATAAGAGCTAAATACCGGGTGTGCCATAATACTCCCAAATGGTTAATTTTTGAACAGGCTCCATAATATTCAAACGAGCTTCAATACATGTTACTGAGTAATGTACTTTTTGTGGGTATTTGGAATTCATCTCCGCCCCCAAATAGTGTTGGGGGTAACTTAAAATTTTTAAATAACAACTCTTTTAAGTAACACATAATTTTAATGGCCATTAGGCCTAGTTCAAAAGAATATTGGTGAAAACCAGAGGTCTCTATCCCATTAAACTGACACCTTGGGTTGAGATAGGGACCTCTAGTTTTTACCAATATTCTTTTTAACTGATAGCCTTAAAATGATGTGTCACTTGATGGGGCTTTGTATTTAAAAATTTTGAGCTGCCCCCAAAATATCCCATTTTGCAAAATTGCATACTGATCAAAAAGTAGTTTTTAATTTATTGTTACAATTATAATGAGTTTAGTTTCCCCGGTACAACCCAAAAAAACGCTAATAGGGGATATTGGTGTATATTTTCCCCTAAATGTCTCTAGAGACTTACAATTAATTGTGGCAATAAAGCTTAAAAACTATAATTTTGACTTAACTTCGTCACTAATCATTAATGCTTTTGTCATTAAATGAATTTTAATCGGGTTTAAAAGGATTTATTTTTAAGTAGAAAGTAGTATACATTTAGTAATTGAGATAGCCTTAGACTGTATTTTAAAATGGGGCTTCATAATAACAATTGAACTAATAAAATAACAAGCCAGGCACTTTTCTTGCATTAATACAACAGGGGCTTTTATTGAAGTAAAACTAAATCAAAACCTCCATACTTTTATGACGAGTACAATGGTGGAAACCACATTTAAATCGAATAAGTATCAACAAAGACATGACAGTTTATATCAATGACACGGTCTTCTCATATAAAGTGTATGTTATCAGCGGCGCGGTACACACGTTAGGTGGTGGGGGGGGCGCCGGACCTATATGAGTGTATCTCTGAGCAGTACAGTGCGCGATCCAGTTGTAGTAATAGAGATCGATGGTTGGGATAGAGACCTCTGGTTTTCGCCGATATTCTTTTGAACTAATGGCCTTTAAAAAGATGTGCTGCTTGATAAGGGTTGCTATTTAAAAATTTTAAGTTACTCCCAGGAACCTCTTTTTGAGGGTGGGGGGTGAATTGTAAAATACCCCCAAAAAGTACTTTACATTACCCTAGTAACATGTATCAAAGCTCGTTTGAATATATGAAGCCGTTCAAAAATTAACCAGGGGGACCTTTATGGGACACCCAGTATAAGCCTAACAAGTACTGTAACTGTTAAATGTTTCATCTAGGTTTGCCCAGTTCTTTCTGTGCCCATTGTTTACCGAAAGTGCCACAGAAAGAGAGGTAAATGCTGTCAATTCAGAACATGAGAAAAATTTACCAAACGACTCCTGGCGCCTGGATCAATTAGAGAAGTCCACGGCCAAGCCAGACCACCCTTACAATCAGTTTGGAACTGGTATGTATACTATCTATTTTATTATTTAATTAATACTAATTTTTTAGTTCAAAAATTAACCAGAAGTAAACAAATAATTTCAAAGTTATTAAATTACTACTTTAGATAAAATAAGAACTTCATAGGCTACTATTTTTATATTGTGTAGAGGACTTAAATTATTAGTTCTTCCTTATACATTTTCTCTAAACTAGGGATGGACAAGTTCCGAAATTTCAGGAAATTTTCAGGAAAAAAATTTTCCCGATTTGCGGGACGGGATTACATTTGATTTGGGAATTTTTCGGGACGGGATTTGATCCGATCGTCAGCGATTTTGCCGCTTCGCGAGTGACGATGACCCCGCTATCGTGACAGATGTTCGCGATAGTTCTGCGAACGCAGGAGGCGAAGGCAGTTTGACGATCGCGCCGTGACCGCGGAGTCGTACCGAAGATCATGCCGTGAAGCAGAATCATACCGACGATCGTGCCGTGACCGCGAATCATACCGACGATCCCGCCACGACCGCGAGTCATACCGATGATCACGCCGTGACCGCGGAGTCATTTCGACAATCACGCTGTGACCGCAGAGTCATACCGACGATTCCGCCGTGACCGTGAGTCATTTTGAAGATCGCACTGTGACCGCGAGTCACAAGTTTCTATACCTGTAAATTTTGACCCATTTTAGCGAATTTCCCATATAGGGAATATTAGCGAATTTCCCATATAGGGAATAAGCTATTACCGTAGTACTCATGGTAAGACCTGGACCCGAGACCAATCTAATTTTTCATTTTGAGGTCCCTAGAGGCCAAAAACACCATCCGTTCAAATTCATATATATATATATATTTATATATATATATATATGTGTCCGTTAGCGCGATAACTCGAGCAAAAATGATCCGATTTTGATTAAATTTGGTACAAACATGTAAACCTACGTTTATTCGAACGAGTTCGCGATCCAGCATAATCGGACCATGGGAACGGGGGATTATGGGGGGTTTTATGGGGTAAAAATGGGTTTTTCCCATTTTTGAACCTAAAAACTAAAAATTTTGCGATTTCTTTCTAAAACGTTTTGTAGAGCTTAAAAAAAGAAATAATTTAGTATATTGAAGCGCTGTTGTATGCCTAACGGTCACGGAGAAAATTCAAAAATAGTGTAATTAAAAATTCCCATGTTATTCTTATGGAGAAAATGAAAATTGTTGTAGTTTACTTGTTTATGAGTATATATTGATAAAATTTGGCAAATTTATTTATTTCATCCTATACTATTGATGTATGGTCAAAAAACACTTTTTACCTTTACCGTAGCAGCAAACCTAAGCACTTGTTAAATCTAATGTTATTTAAATAGGGAATAATATGTCTTATTTATATGGAAACATTTTAGTAAAAATGTAATCAGACAAGTTGAAATTCGCTTAGTCTGCAGGTTTGCTGCGGCGGGGGTATTTAAGTTTTTATAGATCAGTGCCACAAATGGTAAAAATTGATTTTGTTTGTCTTTTTTGGTAACTTTAATACTCAAGACTTTCTTTTTATGCACAGGAAAAAATCCCGTCCCGAAAATCGGGAAGGAAATAAAAATCACGTCCCGAACTAAAAATTCAATCCTGTCCATCCCTACTCTTAACAGTTTTAAAAAGCAGCAATCCATAATAAATAGTTTTCAATAAAATTCCTATAGGTATATTTTATTTTTTGCATAGCATTCTCAAATATTTAGTTGGCTGTTTCTCTCACTATTTAACTGTATCACCCTTGTCTTTGTGATCACTTTGTTTTTTCATGTTTAATTTAATGATTTTTCTTGCAGGAAACAAACTCACCCTTAGTATTATTCCAAAAGAAAAAGGAATAAATGTTCGAGATGAACTTTTGAAATTCCATGACAAATGGTACTCCTCCAACATCATGTCTCTTGCCATATTAGGAAAAGGTATGTTTAATTCATGTTAATTGTATTTACATGTTCACTGTCCATGACGTGTAATCTCATCACCGCTAGCGCTTTCCAGTGGAGCATGACTAGTATACTTGTCAAAGCGCCGTTTCCAAACTATTGTCCCCTTGCGAGGTTGGCCACTGCCGTGAGACGTTGTTTCGCTTGCCGCTTATTGTGCTGGTGTTATACTTCAATCTGGTATCCGATTATTTTATCAGTGGTAGGCACTGTTAACAATTTATTGTAGTGTGGGCTTTAGGCATAGACATAGACATACTTTATTTGCACATAACATTCCATACATATCATAACATTTAGAATAGGTGCATTGTCAAAATTAAATCCATACATACAATATTTAACATTAAAACTTAACTTAAAATTAAACACTTAAAATAAAATAAAACTAGTGTACATGTTGCTCGAAATCGAGCAATTGCTAAGAAAAACTGGAGTTATTTATAAAGAAATAACTTGTTTAAAAACTAATAACAGCCATAATTTCCGATGATTTTAAAAGAGTCGACTAAAAGATTATTAACTAATGGAAATTCTCATAATTTACACAACAGTCCTACTCCAGTTTAAAGGGTTAATTTATAGCTATCAAACTGCCCATGGACGGGAAAAGGTAAGCTTACAATTTAAGTCAACGTAAACAGGCTGTCAGCTTTTAAAATGTACCGTACCTAAGTACCGTAAGTTATTTAGCCAATTTGTAGACAATAAGGTGTAGGCTACATTAAACTCTATAGAACTGAGTTAGGCAAAAACTGGCAGAACTCTGAAATGGTGTTATTTATCATAGGCATACTCATGGCAAATCCTTAAAATAAAAAATTCAATAATTAATAACTTATATCAATTAATACAAACTAACATCTAAAACTATACACATTTTTAATACAACATTGATAATTTACACATTAACTGTTTACAATATTCTTCTTCTCATTTTAGCGAATTTCCCTATAGGGAAGTAGCTATTACCGTAGGTGGCACGGTAAGACCTAGGCCCGGGACCGATTTACTTTTTCATTTTGATGTCCCCAGAGGCCAAAAACACTATTCGTTCAAATTTTTATATATGTATATATATATATATATAGATTTACTAGCTGACCCGGCGAACTTCGTATCGCCTAAGTTATAGGTTTCCCCTAAGACAGACCGATAGAAAGAAAGTACCGTTACGTTTAATTTTCAAGATGATCTCGTTCGCATCGCTCAATCACGTCCTGGTTGAAGTTCGTTCGCTACGCTCACTCACCTTTAGGTTGGAGCTCGTTCGCTACGCTCACTCACCTTTAGGTTGGAGCTCGTTCGCTGCGCTCACTTGCCTTCAGGTTAGCTCGTTCGCTACGCTAACTCGCCTCCAGGTTGAAGTTCGTTCGCTACGCTCACTCACCTTTGGGTTGCAAATTAGCTGTTGTCATAAATGTAAAAGAAATAATAGTGCTGCACCCTGTTGGTAATCCTTGTAACTTTAATGCTATTGAACATCATAGAACAGAACCAACTTGTTTAATTGAAACAGCTGTTAAGATTCATTAATTCCATTTCTCATAAGGTTAACATGGGAAACTCCAGAGCCACTGGGGCGGAGCCCTTTTAAGAATTTCGAAACGGGAAATAGTTTACGTCCGATTCGCATACCTACAGAATTTACACACCAAATTTCATAACGATCGGTGAAGTCGTTCCGGAGGAGTTTGCAGACAAACACTGTGACACGAGAATTTTATATATTAGATATATATATATACGTCCGTGAACGCGATAACTTGAGTAATTTTTGTCCGATTTTGATGAAATTTGGTTTGAAGGTGTAAGGCGGTATAAACTTGAATGAGTTCGCGAACCAGCATGATCGGACCATGGGAACAGTGTTTTACGGGGACTTTTATGGGGTAAAAAATGGTTTTTCTCATTTTTGACCCTCAAAACACAAAATTTCTCAATTTCTCTCTAGACCTTGTTAAAGAGCTTAAAAAAGCAAATAATTTAGTATATCAAAGTGTTTTTGTACGGTTATTGGTAACGGAGAAAATTCCAAAAATTGTAAATTTAAAATTCCCATGTTATTCTTATGGAGAATATTGTAAAATGATGTAGTTTGCTTGTTTATTGATAAATTTGGATTAAACTTGGCCAATTTATTTCTTTTATACTAAGCTATTAATATTTTACTAAAAAACTCGCTTAATTAGTTTTCTTGTAGCAGCAAACCTAGGTACTTGTTAAACCTAATGTTATTTAAATAGATTTAAATTGAAAATCAGTTCAGACAAATGGAAATTCGCTTAGTCGGCAGGTATGCTGCGGCGGGGGTATTTGATTTTTGCTTCGCAACGGGAAAAATATGTTTTATAATCATTGAAATAGATTTTTAATAAATAATCTATTAAAGTTTAAGATTAAATAAACCCAAGGCCCTACTACATAGTTGTTTTATTTTTTTGATCGGCTGTCTGAAATTGTAAAATAGGCATTTGACAGTTTTGGTTGTTTTTATTTAAATGTCAAAGCAAATGTAAACATGTGAATTTTCTCATGGGTCATTCCATTTCAAATCATCCAATAAAAAAATAAAATGTCACCCATGACCTCAGATTTGGCTGAATTTTTTTTTATTTGTTCATTTGACCATTTTAATAAGATACACCAAGTTTTAAAAAATTATCTTAAATAGTTTTTGAGTTATGAATTTTTGAAATTTTGCTAAATACACTTATAACGGCGCTTCCGAGGCGAAAAGGTTCGGTGACGTTCTTATATACAAAAATCCATAACTTCTACAATATTTAACATAAAGCAATAGTTTTTTCACCAAAATGTTCAGAAAAATCAGAGGATTATAGAAAAAATACATTTGGCTAGTTATTTCTTCACATTTATATGTAATGCATTGCTAAATTTAAATTTTGAGTTATTTTTTAATTTACAAACAAAAAATCTTTAAAAGCGATTATTGACCAAAGGCATAGCAGTAACCAAAGCAATTTTTTTTTTTAATTAACCCTAAAGATATAAACTAAAGTAATCTGGAATAAAATTAATGGTTTTTTACCAGCTAATATTTTTTTTATTCATATAAGTTACAATATGGGTTATGGCGAAGAAATCCTATGAAATCGATAACTTGACTTTGCTATCCAAGTTTAAAACCTATAATATTCATCCAATTGCAAACAACATATTTTAATTAAATTACAATGACTTGTCAATAGGTAGTCAATACTTAAAATGTATGCACTAACCCTTAGATATTAATTGTGAAAACATGTGTTTTTAACTGTTACCGGTACCGTATATTAGGCTGTACAGAAAATTAAAGCTGCAGTAAATGATGGGCTATACCAATTGTACTTACAAAGAAATGTATTTATTATTTATACAAGGGCTTATTGGATTAGAACATTTTTGTGATAATCATAAAGGCCTTTAACAGTAGAGGAGTTACCTTAGTTTTGGATATGGGTGCGTGTGAGCCTCAACATTTTCTTGCAATGCAAGTCAGCAGCTTGAACTTCCTTTTCAGGAAAATAATACATCCTCCTTGAGCCTTTAGTTGTAGGTGGATTGACACTTGAAATTATGTTGCATAGGCCAGTAAAATGATTTTGCTGGTCCGTGGGGATGTAGAAATTTAACTTTAATATAGGTACTCAATGTCTTTTTTTTCTCATGACTAATCCGAAACACCAATTGTCATCATAAATGCACAATGTAGTCAACCAAGCTATTGTCCTGTTAGATTTCAGCAAAAACAATTCCTATGTAATCTTACTAATATAAATGTGAAAGTTTGTGTCTGTGTTTGTTTGTTTGTGTGTTTGAAGTTCAATCACACATAAACCACTGGACGGATTGGGCTGAAATTTGGCATGATGATAACTTACATTCCCGATTAACATATAGGCATATTCTTACCTCAAAAATCCTTTCGGGCTCCGCTCCAGTTTGGTTGAGCGAAGAATATGCCTATATGTTAATCGGGAATGTAAGCTATCATCATGCCAAATTTCAGCCCAATCCGTCCAGTGGTTTATGCGTGATTGAACTTCAAACACACAAACAAACAAACAAAGACACAAACTTTCACATTTATATTAGTAAGATTACATAGGAATTGTTTTTGCTGAAATCTAACAGGACAATAGCTTGGTTGACTACATTGTGCATTTATGATGACAATTGGTGTTTCGGATTAGTCATGAGAAAAAAAAGACATTGAGTGTGATATTAAAGTTAAATTTCTACATACGGACCAGCAAAATTGTTTTACTTGCCTATGCAACATAATTTCAAGTGTCAATCCACCTACAACTAAAGGCTCAAGGAGGATGTATTATTTTCCTGAAAAGGAAGTTCAAGCTGCTGACTTGCATTGCAAGAAAATGTTGAGGCTCACACGCACCCATATCCAAAACTAAGGTAACTCCTCTACTGTTAAAGACCTTTATGATTATCACAAAAATGTTCTAATCAAATAAGCCCTTGTATAAATAATAAATACATTTCTTTGTAAGTACATAATTGGTATAGCCTATCATTTACTGCAGCTTTAATTTTATGTACAGCCTAGTATACGGTACCGGTTACAGTTAAAACACATGTTTTCACATTTAATATCTAAGGGTTAGTGCACAAATTTTAAGCATTGACTATTGACAAGTCATTAATTTAATTAAAAGATGTTGTTTGCAATTGGATTAATATTAGAGGTTTTAAACTTGGATAGCAAAGTCAAGTTATCGATTTCATAGGATTTCTTCGCCATAACCCATATTGTAACTTATATGAATAAAAAAAAATATTAGCTGGTAAAAAACCATTAATTTTATTCCAGATTACTTTAGTTTATATCTTTAGGGTTAATTAAAAAAAAAATTGCTTTGGTTACTGCTATGCCTTTGGTCAAATATCGCTTTTAAAGATTTTTTGTTTGTAAATTAAAAAATAACTCAAAATTTAAATTTAGCAATACATTA